GTGTTTTCTCACTGGCTCCACTTCCTCTATCCTTCCCCCAGACACCGCACACATACTCCCTTCTTTGGACAACTCTCAAGAGAAAGTACAGACAGTCTGGAGAACAAATCTTCCTTCATGCAGATTACATTCTCCTATAAACACCTCAACGACTAGTATATAACCTCCAGCAAGAACGCTGCCTAATCTCTGGCAACAAAATAAACATATCGAAGCCAGAAGCTCTGATAAGGGGATTCTCAAGAATCTGGAATCTTGCGTTCTGTAAATGGAAGAATGAATGTTGCCAATATTATTGAAAAACAGTGTACCTGAAGAAAGAGACTTTCTTTAATAATACCGAAATTGCTGTTCTTTCCTGCCTCAATCACAGCTGCAAAGAAAAGCGCAAAGGAAATCTGTGCAGATTCCTATATATCCTTGAACTTTTCTGAAAAGCCACTCCTAGCTTTGTTCCTGTTCATGGGACCATGAAATCTCTGAGGTATTAGCTTTTAGAAATATTGAGATACCACAACGTGTAGGGACTTAGCAAAAAGAGGAGCCAGGGAAGCTGCTCTCTAAAACTTCCTCAAATATTTTTAAGAACAGTACCTACATAGGATGAATCTCACTAAAGAATGAGTGATTTATGACCACACCTTAAAAAGAGATGTTTAGCTTGAAGGATGCACTCAGTGTTTTCTGAAGTGCTGCTTGATACTGATACCTTCCTTTGTGTCATTGCCATTAACATGTGTTGTAAGCTCTGGAATATTTCTCCCCTCTTATTTTTGCTCTGACTGAGTCATTAGTGTGCCTATGGCTTTGTTAACAGAAAGGATTTTTGTGCATGTTTTCTGAAATAAAACACTAGCTTATCAGCAAGCGTAGTACTGAATAGCAAACATGGGAAGGATTCTTTGCAAAACTACTTAAGAGGATGCACAGATAAAGAGACCGTCATGTTTTTTTCAATAAAAGTTTGTTAGCCTGCAGTGCGATAGGGACTCCTTATTAAGAAACCACCAGTAGAGCCCCTGCCCCACTATCTTAAATATCCATGGCTGAAAGAAAACACCATTCCTCTTGGCCCTGTATTTCCTGCTACCCTTACCCCTTCCCAGTAAATCCCTGTAACAAGTTTGGGGTGGATCTCCAGACTCTTCTTTATTTCTCTTTCACAGTGGTGCATGAAGGAGATTGTCTTCCAGCTGTCCCTGGAGCCATCCAGGCTTCTTTTTGGGGGGGGCGAAGGAGTAGGAAATAAGGAAAGAAATTCATTGCGACATTTTGTATCCTGAATCATATCATGGATCTGTTATGAACGAGTAAAATGCATTTTAAATGAATAGTATGTGACTATCTATGGAATTTTAATAGATCAGTTGCTCACTGTTTTGCTCTCTCCTCCTCTCAGAAGAGCAGTCTTGTAGTCTTGTTCACTAACGCCTCCTGGAATGCCTTTGATGCCTTTGTAGAAGTCATTTTAAACTCAGTTACAGAGGACCACTTTTCATGAAAACATGACCTGAAAGGACCCTGTGGCTCACAGGAACTATGTCATTGCCTATAGTCTATTGTATGGGATATCAGGGCAGTCGTATGCCTCTGTGGCTTCTTTACAGATAGAAAAAGTCCTCACCACTCTCTGTGTCAAGAACTTGCCCCTGACATCCAATCTAAACTTTCCCTTCTTGAGCTTAAAACCATTCCCCCTTGTCCTATCACTGTCTACAAAATACAAAGGAAATTACTTGTATATAAATTATTTGAACAGGCAAGTTTCATACTTCTAATAAAGCATAAGTCAGCCAGAAAGAGCTAATTTAGTCTTTCGTGAAAGAAACAGTCTGAGTTATTCTCCTATATATTTTACACTGTTTTCTGCTTTAAGTGGAGAGATCAGAGTTGTCCAAAGCAGTTAATATTATGGCAACTTTTCTCTACAGCAAACAAGTGAAGAGTATTTCTGAGGACGTGTATTTGGCTGACAGAAAGCATACTGGAATTGCTAACACGCAAGGGTGTTCACCAGCAAGGCACTTATTCTTCCACATCAGAGACCTGCAGTGACAGAAATGGCCTTCTGATGGCTTTTGATTCTCTCTTTAGAACGTCTCATCCTTTAAGCAGAGAATCCTGCTTTGGCATAATTAAGGGCAGGGGCCCTTTGTCACATTGCTGTCTTATTTGCAAATGTCATCTTTTCTGGTCTAGCCCTAAGAACCACAAGCAAAGCAATGTACAGAAATTAAAATTTCTGTCTCTCTTGTAATATCTAGAGAAAATGCTACTGCTTGGTTTTAACCATTCGGTCCAAGATTTAGAGTCCACTGAAGTCACTGAAAGCCTGAGATTGCCAAAACCTCCTGCCAGCTTCAGCATGTCTTGGAGCAGGCCTGTAAGGGGCACAGAACTTCTGGGAAATAGCTCTCCTTATCTGAAAGAAAACTGGTGAAACAAGAAAGCAACACGCAACCAGCTGTCTGTATCTTCCTGCACAACTGCTGCGCTGTGGCTCTAGAGGCCTTCACCAATTAACAGGAACAGGGAAGATGAGGTTAGGTCTTTGCTTTTTATCTCGTATGGCTCAGCTCAATAGTAATTAGCTTCTGCCTCTGCTTCTGTGGGCCTCCTGCGCGCCACAGCTGCAGCAGCCAAACCTTACTCCATAGAAAAATTAGACAATTATCTCTGGGAATTTATTTCCCAGCAAGAGTATTCACATCTCACTTCTCCCCAGTACTTCATCACCAAGATGCGCAGCTGTTGAAGGACTATCCAGATCTCAGTCCAATCTACTGTCATGTTCAATAGCTCATCACTGCGAAAGTTTCATAAATGTACATTTTCCAGATATATCTTCAGTCCTTGTTTTCTCTGGTAATCCCTGCCTGGAATCACAAATTAAAAAATACCCTATAAAAATCCCCTTACTGAGTTCAGAATAATCAGCAAAAAGACATTTCTTGTTAGAGGAAATGCCCTTCCAGTGCAGCTGTCTCAGAAAGCAAGCAATGCCTGAGCAGTGGGCATTGCAGGAATGAGAAATGTTACCCCTGATTCATACCGTCCTGCTCGGAGCATCGTGAACTTGCTATCTGTGATGGGTACTGCTAGTGCAAAGCATGCCTTTTTTGAGGAAGTGAACAAACACTGATGAAATGAAAACCTGATGATCTGCTCCATTTTCCATCTGTATTTCCTTCTAGAAATCTTGAACTTGTGTTCTTCAGCTTCCTCTTTTGTAGAATCTCCTCTTTCAACAGCCATTTCCATCCAGAGTTACTAGTGTTTCATGTATCATCTAGAGTGCTTTGCCTAATGTTTTCAAAACCAGCTGCAAAGTATAAATCTCTGGCACCTCATATTTTTAAATTACTGTATCTGCTTCCCTACCAGTTGTACAAAGTGCTTGAAAAAAACGGCATTTTCTCTACAGTGGAAAAACATTTTAGTTTCTGCTGAAATCCTCCAGGTTTGTTGATGTTCTGCTCAGCCTTACTGTCTTTTACTATCCTGTGTGATACTTGGATGGTAGCCAGGCACATATAAATTGCTCCCACTCATGCTCTTTCTGGCGGTTTTATGTGCCTTTCACTACTTTCTAGCAGATATTTGAGGCAGCAATTTATTCCCATCACGTTTTTTTTCTGCTTATTTTCTTTTCCCTTTTGAAAACTATTACATCTTCTTGCCTAGAGGTTTCCTTAGTGTTTGAGGATCGCTGTGGATGGATACAAGACTACAAGGACAAAACTGTGGCTTTTTCTTTATGCTTGGGGCAAGGAGTTTGAGGCCATAAGGAGGCTCCCACTGCCCTGTTTCCGAGCCTCTTCTCATCCAGGAAGGACAAGCACCTTTCTATGAGGAATGCTTGCTTGCTTGCCATGCCAATGGGCAGAGTAGGCATGATTGTAAATTGGCCAGATCGTAGCTGTAAGTGCCCATCTTCCCCTCAGTACATGTGAGTCAGAGCAGAGAGAAGGTTTTTCATGCCAGATAAAAGGGATGGTACACATTACTTTTTGACTGGAAAATGCAAGAAACTGGAGACCTATGTTGTGCTGCTCCTAGAAACATTTGGTTCTTGATTTTCTTCTGAGAACTTCAGATGTACTCCAAGTTTAATCTAAGTTTTGGACAAATCCATAACCTAATCTGTCTTCGATATGCTGATTTTTCATTATATTTTCACCTACAGATTGGCATTAATAGAATGGCAAAAAAGGAAAATAAAAAAGAAAAAAAAAATCACCATCATCAAAGGCAGAAGAAAATAAGCATTCTGAACCTTCCTCTGCAGGTCCCCAGTCTTAAAGTCTGCTTTCACCCACCTTAAAAGAGCTTCTAATTTGCTGTGCATCACATAATTCCAGTGGCGATCCTGGTGAATGCCGTGTCATTGGAGCAGTGACAGAATAAAAGTAAATCATGTTCCACTTCCACCCCTTGCCACAGAATGCAGCTGCTATGCACTTGCATCAGCAAAAATATCCGTGGGGCATTTTGTGGCCTGGTTGATAATTAGACCCAAATGTAACAAAGAGGGCGTCAGTCAGTCCTGGCTTAGCGTGGATTAGATCACTGTAAGTAGAGGGGATGTTTACTACAGCATATTGATATCATTAAGGCACGTTGGTAGCTTACAATGTTTTATAAAAACATGGACACAATAATAGCAACAAAAACCACAGAAGCTCAGTTCTGGGACTTAGTTCCCTGTCCCAGCACATCTCTTTGAAAGCTCATGCATCATGCATTCATTCAGGTATAAAATGACTATCAGAGCACATCCCACAGATGAGAATTAAGAGGGCTCATTTGTCATCCAGCTCTGACCTATTGCACTAAATTCCTAACACAGTTCATAGGATTGTGAATCTCTGGTGTCTTCCTAGAAGTTATTGTCATGCTAATTAAGAAAAGTATCATTTTAATGCAGCATGTTTATCACGTGGCTTGTTGCAATTTTCTCACATGCTGATGGTAAACAAATGTTCCTTTTGCCTTTGTAGGTTACGCAGATGGACCAGAAACTGAACCTCATTACTGAGATGCTGCATCGTCTGGTTTCAAGTCATCAGGGGGATCAAGGGAACAACAGGTCATCTCAGAAAGGCAACAGCATTAATTCAGATCTCTTCCTCCCAAACAACACCCTGCCAACCTACGAGCAACTGACCGTGCCGGGAAGAAATGAAGACGATATATCCTGATGTGGTAAAAGTTGGGTTGGGTTCTTCCCACCTTTCTCCTTTAAATGGAACTTGGAAGGAAATTCAGTTCATCAGACATCCGAGAAAACACATGACTGCAATATCTATACTACTGGTCTCAAATGCACTCTTCTAAAACCACTCGTAATAGCCCAAGGATTGACAGGCTGTGTTCTACCAGGCAAAACCTACCAAAGCTCCACATTGATTCTATTGATGAACAAAAATTATAGCAACTCATTATTGCTCAGAAAGACCAAAACAATGTTAAAGGCAGGCAAAATTGCAAAGATTTAGAGCTCCTTTAATAATAATAACAGTAATAATAATATTGTAATAATACTTGAACTTAGATAAGAACTCTGCATTTTGTTTATGAACCTGCAGATAGCAATATATTTCTACTACTAAGGTTTTTAAAACAAAATAGGATAACTTATGTTGTTTTTATTGTATAAATATACCACTAACATTCTTGCGAATGACAAACCACATGCTGAATGATTTTCTTTTGCTGTTTTATTTTAACGTTGCTACATAAACATTATCAGATAATGACCAGATTTTTTTAATCTGTTTTTCTTCAGGGAGGAACTAATACTTAATCTGGAACAATACTATTTATAGTGGAAAGCGCTATAGATTTTTTAAGATACCAGTTTTTAACAGGGAGACAATAAAGTATTACATAGAAAAATGATTCTGCTTTCTAGAAAATTGTTGCCAAAGAATTTATATATAAACAGAAAACGCAGTGGTCTGAATGTACTTGTCCTGAAATAGCTTTTTAAAAAGAAGACCCACTACTTCTTAAATCAATTTTTTATTTTTTTTTCAGCTTATGCTATCCAAGAGTAGTACAGCAGTATAACGTGACTGGACTTGCAGGTCAAGTGCTTGAGCTGGCCACTTTCTGAGCATCCATAATTCTCATAGGAATCATGGCTCCAGTTCAGGAAAGCCTCCCTTGTCCAGACAGCATTTAACAGTTTTCTGAATAATTGAATGAGAAATTCTGGTCCCTACCAAAGTCATTAGATATTCAGAAGTGCCAGCTCCAATCAAAAGGACGCAGGGCCTAACCTGCAAGCCACCTCACCCCACATTATAGTTGCAATAAGAACAGCAGTGTTTGGCTTGGTGTGATTTTTCACATGCACAACGTGAGCAGGAAAACGTGAGCAGGATTGGAGCTTTGCTTACTAAAATTGAAATTCAACCCTTGCTGATAGTTAACACCTCTACCATGCACACTTCCTTGAAAGTGGAACGTCCTTAAATTTGACAGTGTTGTAAAATGGAGGATTACAACATAGCTAATTAATGCTATGAAAGACTTCAGTGTTTGAAAGCAAGAAGACATATATATACATATATAAATATATATATATATATAAACTGATGCCCTAAAGCCTCATAATTTTGCTCAGCAGTTAGCATTAGCAGTCTTTAGGATGTATAAGCAGTCTGAAATACTGATGTGTAATGACCTGAGATCGCAGGGAACCATCTCATAGTATTGCTTACATGCTGAGCCTTGTTTTAAACGTGAAACATTTCACCTCTTTCACTTGGACTGCAGAGGAAAGTATACTGTATTTATGTTATAATCATCTCATCTTGCTGCTGTACAGTAGATACATGTTAAGGGTGGAGAAATGTATGGACATAAACAGGAATTGTACCTGGGCATTACGTTTTATAGAAATCAAAATTATTGTGATGATTTTGAATATTTTTAAATAAGATTAACTGTGTAATTTTAGATTATTGATCAATCTCTAATTTCCTAATAAAATACAAGAGAAGATTACCACGCCTTCTGTTTATTCTAAGATCCAGAAGTTCAATATACACAGGAAAATTACTGGCTTTTCTTTTTTCTCTTAGGCTACTATCAACACAGTACTATATAATGTCCTCGTGCTGGTGTGTTGGTTTATCTCTGTCCATGTGAACATTGCCATCACCAATGTCCTCAGAATAATCGGGTTTTGAAGTTCTGTCTGTGGCAGCTTGCTAGCAGGTCTGATTCCACATCTGGTCCAACAGAACCTTTCAAAAAGATCACCAGCTTGGTGACTTGTGACTTCAAATCCAATGATTCATCTTGTTCTTAAAAAGAGAAGGTGATCCAGGCTGTCCTTGACGCATCCAAATCTGCCCAAAGGTAGCCACCACAGCTGCTCATCAAAGGCATGTCTTCTCTGCCTGACAAGTGGATTGGATTTGTCTCTTCTGTTGGTGCTTCATACCTGAAAGACTTCTGTCAGAAGTAAGTATCTCCATGTCTTTCTTCACAGTGCATTGGGGAATAAGGATAGCAGGAAGATGAGCTAAACAGTTTGATGCCTTCAAGCTGGACACCCCTGCAGTAACCATCATAAAGGGAGTATGTTGTGTTGGGACCTTGTTTGATGGTTTCTGTTCATGCAAACTGTCCAAAGCACATAAGTGAATGTGTAGTAATTGTCTGTCAATTGTGTGTTTGCTCCATGTCCAACACAATGGGACTTTAGTGACCACAGTTATATAAATGCAGTATAATCTCTATGAATCTTTTATTATTCTGAGCCTGAGTGGTTTTTGAGCTGGAAGTGCCTGCTGCCAGACTGATCATTAGAGTATGTTCCTTTTTAGATTCCTTTTCACAAAGTATCTTAGAAAAGTAGAAGAGTTTGGACATCACTCATTTTCATTTTTGTATTTTAAAATAGGCTTGTTTCAAATAATGTCATTGGCCAGCATCGTGCTCGGATACTGGCTGAGGCAGAAACAATTTGATGTCAGCAGATAAAATGGCCGTTTCACTGCAGCACGTTAATGGCTCTTGTGGCCAGCGTACACCTCAGTGCTGATTTATCATCAGTTCAGGGGAAGGTGGAAGGATTCCAGGGCTCCCCCCACCGAGTTGGAAAGGTCTGGGACAAATTGCTCCTTGAACTATAAAAAAAATAAAACGCAGGAAGATTTTCTTTTCTGTGAGTTTAAAGGAGAAAAGGTAAAAACAGTTTTCAGCTAATCCTCACATATCCTGCTGAGATGGGTATTACTGTTCTTATTTCACTGATGGGATGGTGGCTGGGAAGAGGAGGGGCAGGGGCAGGAAAGGAGAAAAGAGAAAAGATTAAGGGTCTGATGCAACTTCCATCTATGTCCCACTCCTGTAAATGTGTACTTACGTACTTCATTTATGCATGGGAGTTGGGCTGTTGCCTTCAGTGGGACTACTCAGTCCACGCGGGCCAATATAAGCCTTTGCAAGTTCAAAATCTATTAAAGAAGGCTTCCCATAGGCTTAGTGGAAGCTGGAGTCAGATGTAGCTGTAGCATTGCTTTCCCTGTGGTCACAGAGACATTTGAATTGCCAGTTTTGTTCCCTTTTCTGTTTTCAGATTGTTGGCTTATACAACTCTCATGAGCTTCTCACAAGCCATGATAATATTGGAGGTATTTCTTTCTACTTTAGTGATGAAAGTTTTCCTTACCTACCACATGTGAACTCACACAATGAAATGTTCTCGCACAAAAGCAAAGTCTTTTTAGATGCCCTGAAATTTCTTTTTAAATGGCTTGTAGAAAAGTTTGTCTCTCGGGCTCCCTGACCAGCAGCAGCTAAGATGAAGGAACGTGGAGGAAAGCAAGTTCAAAATTAATAGAAGGAAAATAGCTGATACCCAATCGCTCAGCGATATTTAACTGAGTCCCAGCAAGGATTAGGTGCGAGAACAAGAAGTCGCTGAGATGACCTTCCGAGGTCCCTTCCAACTCAAAGGACTCCATGATCCAAATATTTCTACAAATAGTGGGTTTTTCATGACTTGTGTGAGGGATGACTTTGATGTCTAAGTGCAAATTCCAGCTGAAACTTCCTGCTGTGCTGCAGTGTTTTGCAGGTTCTTTTCCTGCATCCCCCACCTGGTGTCTGATGAGATGTGAATTCATGCCTTTCCATGGTAGGAAAATTCAGACTGCATGGTGGTAGAGCCTCTCTCTCTACTACCTCAATGCATATTTTCACTAAACAAGATCTAGAATCGTTTGAGTTGGAAAGGACCTTTAAAGGCCATATGGTCCAACTCCCCTGCAATGAATAGGGACACCTACACTAGATCAAGTGCTCAGAACCCTATCTAGCCTGACCTTGAGTGTCTCCGTGGACAGGGCTTCCGGCCATCTCTCTGAGCAAGCTGTTCTGGTGCCCTCTACCCTTCCTTCAAGTTCAGTTGAACCAGGCTGATGTGTTCAAAAGCTATACAGGGGAGCCAAAACAAATACTGACTGCATTCACGTTGTTTACACAAGAACCAGACTGAAAAATCCCCCCAGCCCTAAGCCAGAGATTTTGACCAGATAGTAGCCTCAGCTTCAGGGCACAAGGGCAACTGTAGTTCCTGAGGCTGAAAAAGGACTTGCAGAAGACTTTTTCTCAGGAGCCACCAGCAGCTGCAGAGCTTCGTGCACCTTGCCTATGGAGCAGCAACAGAAAGATGCTGGTAAACCAAGGAATGCTTTCCCAGGGCAGCACAAGAATCCTCACGTTGCTCCTAATGACAGAGACCCAAAAGCCAATATGACAAAATGGTTGGCGCCACAACAAAGAAAATGCAGGTGCCGAATGGAAGCATTGTTCAACGTGTCCATGCACATTATTGTAATGCAGCATGTTGTCCAATGAAAAGATGCCTACACGGCTGGCGAGGGAGCACTGCCAGGGAAGGGCTGGCCCCAGAGAAGCTGCATTGTCCGAGCCAGGCAGAAAGTTCACATAACTCCCACATTGGCTGGCAACTGCTGCCTACGGGGAACAGCTTACTAGCCTGACGTGAAGCATTATGCTCCCTGCCCATGGATTTGCACCTAAGAAGAACCGATGCATAAAGCCAGTCTCAAAATCATCTCGGAGCTCCGTTTTCTTCAGAGCTAGCATTGCTCTGGCGAACTGCCCAGGGATTTAGACTCAGCTAATCCAGACTTGGCTCTCCATGGCAGACACCCGTGGAACAAAGGAAAGAAAGCTTCCACGACCCTGTCAAGTTTCTGGTAAATCACTCAGCCAGGTGCAGAAAGTGGGATAGGCGGTCGCCAGCGAGCTTTCTTGGATCAGAGAGAGGCAAATCCCTGGAGAGGGGAACAGAAGAAGCTTTACAGATTTTCTTGCCATAATTTACCAAGTCTGTGTGCAGTGCTCCGAGCATGCAGTGCCTGTGTGTTTCACACAATCCTTCCAGAGAGCTGTGCTGAAGCACATTGCCCTGCCAGCCTGTGCTCTAATGGCTGCTGGTGTGCATTGGTTGCTTGGTTTGTCCTCAAAGAGGGCAAAGCTGGGCCCCGGACTGTCTCACAGATGAGCACAGGCACTGGACAGATTTTGATCATTTTTCTAAATTGCAATGAAGGAAATATTATTATTGATGTTATTCTTTTGATAACTAACCAAGTATTTTAATAACTAACTATTTTTATTTCAACTCATTTAGGTAGGGGATTGCTTGGGGAGACATCATCTCCTTCCTGTGAATTTTTATTTATGAAGAGAGATACACTGTCAATATTGTAGAAAAAAAAAAAAAAAAAGAATAAGAAAGCAAAGGGAAAAAGAATAAGAAAGAAAAGAAATGAATAAGAAAAAAAAAAAAAAAAGGAAAAGAAAAAGAGTAAAGAAAGTCAAAGAGTAAGTTCTCTTTTAGTCCTGCTGTGTGTTATGTCCTTATATTGAGCATTAATACATAAAGATTAATACATTAGATATAGATGTTACAAGAACTACCTGTGCTGCAAGCACCAGAAGCATGTAGGAAACAGTACGATTACATGCAGCTTGTGAGATGCTATCGTCTACAACTGCTGTTTCACCACTGCCTAATAATTTGTTAGACCTGATGATTGCCCAATCAGGCTATTAACTGAGCTGCTCATACGGAGGAGCCTAAATATAAAACGTGGTTCAGATTTTACTCCTTACGTGATGAGGCACTGGCACGGGCTGTACAGAGAAGCTGTGGATGCACCATTCCTGGAAGTGTTCAAGGCTAGGTTGGATGGGGCCCTGGGCAGCCTGATCTGGTCTTGCAGTTGGCAACCCAGCCCATGGCAGGCATTAGAACTAGACAATCTTTGAGGTCCCTTCCAACCCAATCCACTCTATGATCTTTGGCTCTTATTCTGCATGCAACTTTTTGCTTTGAGTCCATGCTTTTTACTTGATTTCCCTAGAGATTTCCCTCTCAATTAATCCAAACATTTCCTCTCCTTCAGTTCCATCTGGATACGGGTTTGCCGGGCAGAAGGAGGTGCTCTTGTAGGAATCATCAGGCAAAAGCTGATGCAAGTGCATGCAAGGCCTGATCCCACGCAACCGGAGGCACCAAGCCTTTCTGCTGACTCTGGTGACACTGGCAGCACGCTCACGTGCTGTTTTGTCATGCCCACACCTCTGCCTCACCTCGCAGACGCCTGAGTCACCGCTCCTTGGTGCTGTGTGGGCCGTGATTAATATTTCCTTCCTGCACCCGTCATGCAGACTGCGATTTTCACTCTGGCTTTTTGTTTTCCTCCTTCCCCCCTTCCCTCTCCGTGCTGAGATGGAGAACAATTCCTGGAAAGGACGGCTTCTTTCCCCCACACTGCACAAACACCGCTCGCGCCGTCAGGGAGGAGAGAGGGGACGTTCGGCAACATATGGTCGGGAGGGTTTGGGGGTTTTCAGATGGTGAATGACCAATGAGGTTTCAAAGGGGTTTTATTTATAAATGATAGACTCCTGAGAGAGAAATAATGGCTGCTCTCCCAAGCATAAAAGAAGCAATTCAC